TTTTAGCCTATTATCATCTTCCAGTGTTTATAACTACAGTGTGCTTTTAGACATTATTGCTTTTTTGTTGTCTCAAAACAACATAATTTGCAACTGCTGTGCTCTTATCACCTGCTAATTTCCTTTGACCTCTCGGACAAAATCGTTTTGGTGAGCACATTTTTGCATTTCATTAAAAATATTTATGAGCAAGTCTTATGTTGCACCCTTTAAGGAAATATGGATAAAGTAGAATGTATTCTTAATTGATATTGTATCAAGCAAAGTCTTTCAAACTTAATCAGCTCTTCCCATTGCCCATGTGAATATATTTAATTAGATACTCTAAGCTTTGTAGAAGGATGAGTTCTTTCAGAAGCACAATTCAAAAGAAAGCTCCAGACAAAAAAAATAATGATGAACAGTTAATGTGAGTAGTTAGTTTCCTGTGTCAGAATTTTATTCTTGGAGCATATTAATGGAAAAAAGAAAGTTTGGGGCCCATAACAGAAAAATAAACTTGTCTAGTGCAACCAGCTAGTTTGGACTGTTGAAAATAATATAATATTTTGTGATTTTGGTGAAGCTGTCATCCAGTTATGTGCAAGGCAAAATCCTTTTTTTACTTCCCCAGTGCAGAATTGAATGCCTCCCAACTTTGTGGGAAATAGGGACGAGCAAGGGTTTGTTTGACCCAGTAGGTCAATGTCATTTATCAAATATGTCCATTTGGCCATATAAGATCAATGATGTCACCAGTAACCCTCCCGTTAGTTTACATGCAACTGTGGTGTGGGGAATGCCCCGGCTGCAACTGAAAGGGCCGTCACTGACTTCCTTCCAGGTTTGGATGAGTTTGAGTTCGGTCCAAACCTGAGATCATCCCTAATGAGAAAGAGGGACACTTTATAACAAAAGCATGTAGGCACAGGACTCACCACATGGACAAAGAAGAAATAACAAACCCCGACTGCTTTTTTCACCATTACTTTTCCTATATACAGGTTTTTGAAAATGCCAAATGTGATCATTTAAAGATTGGATAAAAGGTTTAGTGTAATGTAACACTTTTGGTAGTTGAATTATAACGTTTTTCAGAGATCTAATCATCATACCAAAAGGAGGGACAACTTAGGAGGAAAGAAGAACAGAAGGATTTATTTGAAAAAAGGGACAGTTCCTCCAAGTATAGGACAGTTGGGAACTATGTTTTTCAAAGTGAATATAGCTTCATTTTATTCTCTAAACTGAGTGAACATTCACTTTGCTAAGTGAACGATCTGTATTTCTTTAGTAAATAAACTCGAAGGACACAGCTAGAAAATGTAAATTTGTTCTTGAAATGGACCCTTTCTTACCCACAAATGCCCAAATACAACTTTTATTTGCAAACTGTTTTTATATTAATTAGGTTAAATTCACCACTATAAAGCATACAGTATGTTGTATCGTTCATAAAAAATATTTTTTTTCCAGCCATGTGACCACTGTTGGCTATTATTAGCTTTTACTGGTTGTCATTGCTAAAAATAATAGACATTTTGGCAAATTACCCTCATTTGGCAAATAGACCCTCAGTCTATTGAGGCTAATTCTGCATTTAAAGGAAACATATGAATAGAATTATCTGCACGTGAACTGACCGCTGTTTAAAAAAGGGTTTCCTTCATATGTCTTAAAGGCCAACTCCAGGCTTACCTTTTCCACTTTTTAATACGATTGTTGTCCATACACTTCTTTTCTTTTTAGCCTGAAATCCCCACTGTATATACTTTTTTTTTGCCTTAGATGTTCATGGGTGATCTAAGCCAACCCCCTTCTTTCTGGCCATTTGATGCCCACATTAGTCCCGCCTCTTCTTCCCTGGTATGGATGTCATGAAAATACCCCCTGTAGTTGTTCGGGTAATGTCAGGATGCTGCTTCCACTGCCAGTAAAGGAGTTTCTTATTGGATGGCCCCTTGCTAAGTCTTGCTACCCACTTTGCATCTTGAGACATCCCTGATCAGGCTTGCACACCCATAAAGTTTGCACCAAAGAACTTCTCTCAGAGCCAGACCTTAATAGTGGAGGTAAGAGCCCTAGGCAATGTGACTGCAACTTTACAAATCTAAAAAAGGGTATGTGGTGGACACAAATTGAGGGAGTGTTCACCAGGGTGAGGGGAGCAATCATGGGCTCTAAAGATATACATCCTGTAGTTGGGCTTGCAGAAGAGGAATAGGTGTTCTAATCCCTCTCTACCCTATCCAAACCTAAAAAAAAGGTTTTGGCAGTAACACTTTAATGTTTACCAGCCATATAATAATACTCAAGTGCACTTTCAATAAATTTGTGTTGTCCATAGCAGTAAGGAACATGTAGTGGAATTAACAAGATTATGACCTGAAAGTGGATGATTCTCAGAAGACTATAGCTAGCTAGCATGAACTGAAACACATTCCCACAATGCTTTGGGAGTGTGCCCATTCTTCAACCTGTCCAGTTAGAACATCCCCTAGATATTTTAGGCCGTCAAACTTTGTTCTACATATGTGCTGCTCATCCATCACAACAAAAGTCCAATTAGTGTTATCAGCAGGTGAGGTCCTTCTTTAACCTCCCTGGCGGTATGATTTTTAATTTTTTTCATGTAATTTTCGGTCTGTTTTTTTTTTTCGAATTGTTTTCTTGTCGGTTTGTTTTGTTTTTCAATATGCCGCCGGCTCCGCCCCCCAGCGACGCGTACGCTCGCAAGGGACGGAACCCGGAAGACGGCATCGGCTGCAGAACACAGCGCAGCTCGAGGGACAAGGTAAGTAAATGCTATGAGGCATTCCCGATTGTAGCTCGGGGTTACCGCTTATGGTATGGAAAAGTAACCCCGAGCTACACTCGGGAATACCGCCAGGGAGGTTAAAGGAGACTTTTACCCATATCCTTAACCACTTCAAGACCAGGTGTTTAGACCCCCTTCCTGGCCAGGCCATTTTTCAGTATTCAGCACTGCGGTACTTTGACTGACGTTTATTCCGTCATGCAACGCTGTTCTGAAATTAATTTTATAAAAAATTTTGGGGACAGATAGAGCTTTCTTTTGGTGGTATGTAATCACCACTGGGGTTTTTACTTTTTACTATAATTAGGAAAAATTTCAGAACATTTTGAAAAAATAAGTTTTTTTTACATTATGTTAGGAAACATTTATTATTACCCAGTTTTTTGGTAAAATATAAAAGATCGGGTCACGTCGGGTAAATAGACACCAAACATGTCAAGCTTTAAAATTGCGCGCACCCGCGAAATCGCAGAAAACTACCATACCCAAAATTGGCCATAGGCGACACTTTAAAAGCTTTTGATAGATGGATGTGATAGATGGCCCTAGACTTATTGCCCTCACTCCGAATTTCGCGGCGATTTTTTAATTTTTAGTAATGACAATCTACAAACACATATTTCTAGATAACTGCTGGCTTTGTATTCTTTGCATACCTTATTTCTCTTTTCTTCCCCAGTCTTCTGACAGTGGCCATGTTTACTAAGGACAGATTACTAGCTCTCCTATTACTTCCTGGATTTCTGGCACATGTGACTAGACTAGGACATTAGTGGAGGAAAATGCCTTTCCCTGAGATCAGAGATCAGATTCTCATGATATTACAGATGAGATTTTCTAGCAACGGTCTGCTGACGAAAACGCAGTCCCAGTGTGCATTTCTTTGGCAAACTGAAGTCATTTTGCCCTTTCGACGCAAGAAGTAAATGCTCTGCAAGTGTAAGCATTTCAAAATCATAGCATTTTACACCTGACATGCCTATCTTGTTATTATTAATCATCATACATAGAGGGATGCATTGGTAGAATTGGATTTTTAGTGTAAAAGTCTACTTTAACAAGAACTAGGAATGCACCGATGCCATTTTCGGTATCAAGCACGAGTACCGGAATTTTTATTTCGGAACTCGCCAATACCGAGTATTGATACCAGTGCCCTGTGCCCTGATTATCAGGAAGGTATACTGTTAGACAGGGTCATTTGTTTTGTTGCAGGCCAGCTGGCAGGTGTGCTGGGGATTCTTTGTGTTTTGTACTGATTATCAGGAAGTCACGACCTGCCGCCTGGCTTCCTGATTGCCTGGGAAGCCGGTGTTCTAACGAAAGACACCAGCTTCAATTGTCGAGGCTTCCTGACCAATCAGGAATCTGGGAGGCGGGTAATTACATGCCGCCCGGCTTCCTGATTGGTTAGGAGGCCAGGCTGCCTAGCAACAAGTGAATCCGGCTTCCTAGCCAATCAGGGAGCCAGGTGGCGGGTTATAACCCACCACCTCGCTTCCTGATTGGAAAGGAAGCCGGCTCCATACTCCCTCGGCATTGCCAGTCAGAGGGAAGGAGGGAGATCTCGCTCTGACTGGAAGTTCCGGTATCGGAGGTAAGTAGCAGAGCATTTGGGCGAGTACGAGTACTTGCCCAAGTACTCTGTATCGGTATCAGTGCATTCCTAACAAGAACTATAAATAAACACCAGATGCCCATAATCTGATATGATACCACTGTACTGCCTACCTTACTGCTAAGATATAACATCTGATAGGGTATAACTTTAATAAATTCTGTTTTAATTATCATAAAAAGTAGATTATGACCTGTAGAGGATACCTATTATCTCATCTCATGACAGTAAATTTGCAGAAACTTGTTTATTGAAGGATTATCAGAAATCTTTTCTGGTATTTGTCTGTATTCAAGAGATACAGTCTGTTTTGGATAGATTTCATTATTGGGCTAATTTTCAGCATTATCAGCTGTATCACTGCCATGTATAGATCCACTAAGGTAAGGTCAATTTACTTTATTGCTGTGACTGTACAGGGCACACAACACAATCCAAATGCAGGAAAAATAAAATGTACTTTTGTACTTACTTAAATAGACCTGTCTGAATAGCAGGCAATTACCTTTTAAACTGAAAGTTATTGTCACTGTACTTCAAATACACTTTTACAGTTCTCATTCTCTTCTTTCAGACACAAATAAGCCCTCGGGAAGGCTGGCAGGTTTACAGCTCAGCACAGGACCCCGATGGCCGCTGTATCTGCACCGTGGTGGCTCCAGAACAGAACCTGTGCTCCAGGGATGCAAAAAGCAAACAACTCCGTCAGCTTTTAGAAAAGGTCAGTGAGTCCCATCAACTGTTTTCCCAGAGCAAAATCACCGCTGAGTTTTAGTCTTACCTAGACGTAGGCAAGTATCTGACTCTTTTAAGGTTAATGCATTCCTCAAAAGATGAATAGTTAGAAGTATTGTGCTTATAAGAAGTTTTATAGGAATAATTATGCTTATTATACTGTATATAAGGATTTTTGTTTTAAATACTTTATTTAATTTAGGCCAGCCCTTCTCAACCAGAGTTCTGTGGAACCCTAGGGTTCCTCCAGATGTTGCTCAGGGCTTCTTGAGCAATGAGCAGTTTTTAACTCTCAAATAAGCTACCACTGACACCATTGATCTTTTCAGCTACATGCAGGGGGAGCTATCTCTAAAGGGAGTATTCTTATTTCCTACTGACACACTAGTATAATAGGCACCATCTCTAATGGCCACCAAGCTACGGGACCATTCCCCACTGACTACTTTTCTGACAACCAGTGTAAGGGGACACTACAGGGACACTACAATGACCATCATTGTAAGTAGGTCCTACACTGACCACCAGTGTAAGGAGAAACTACACTTACCACCAATTTAAGGGGGCTATACTGACCTCCAATGTAAGGTGGAAAAAAACTGACAACCAACATAAATGAGGAACATTTCCACTGACTATCATTGTAAAGTTTTTTTGTATGGTATGCATCTCTTTTCTGGCTATTATTATTAGTATTATTATTATTTGTTTCATTTAAATATTATTACTGTAAATAATTTTGCTTCTGTTAAATACATTAAGTACGTCACATTCTTTATTATTTTTTATTTACTCCAATATCCACAACCTACTGTTCATGCTAATGTCCCGTGAACTCTAGATATAATAAATATTAGCAGGGGTTCCCTTAAACCTGAAAGTGATTTCAAGGGTTCCTATGAGTTAAAAAGGCTGAAAAAAAGCTGAATTAGACCATCTAAGTTTAATTGATTAGGTTGCTCACAAGTTATATTTTATAGTGGTAATTTTGGTGCCTGGAGCCTGGTGCAGTGCATTTGGCTGCAAAGCTTTTAGGCACAAAAAGCCAAGTAAGTGATGAAGAAGGACCTATGCCCTCTTAACTGTCTCCTATATCTAACATTTATCATCACACAAACAATTCAATCTATCCTCTTCTAGCTACACCAAATCTGTTTTCTAAGGCTCCATTCACACTGGAGCGGCTGTCCGCGCTCTAAACAAAGAAAACAATGCACTTTAATGTGCATTGTTCAGGCTATTGCGGGAACCGTGCCGAACAAAACTGCGCGACCCCAAAATAGTGCACAGTAGAAAGGTATCATGGCACACTCACAAGTCAGCATGTAAAAAAACTTGTCTCACCACGAAGGTTAATAACAGAGGTTTTGATACACGTCTTCTGCAGAAAATGTGAAAGCCACACAGCCGCGCCAAGGCACCTCTTATAGTGCGGTCCTAACTCTAAACTATGAGAGTCTCCATCTTGGAGCACATGGGGGCAGAAGATTTCAAATTGGGTGCAGGTTTGTCAGGAGGAAGCCCAACCTCCTTAAAAGGCACAGGAACACACAAGGGATCCCGCACATCGCAATGGCAGCTGAGAGTGTGTTTGTCATTTGTTTTGCTTCACCGATTTGGTGCAGTGACGCATGGGGGTTCTCAGCTGCCATTGCGATGTGCGGGATCCCTTGTGTGTTCCTGTGCCTTTTAAGGAGGTTGGGCTTCCTCCTGACAAACCTGCACCCAATTTGAAATCTTCTGCCCCCATGTGAGTGTGCCATGATACCTTTCTACTGTTTACTGTTTTAAGCCCATTTCATGTGCACCTTACTGTATAGTTGGTGACAAATTGTTGAGTGCGTTTGTCATTTGTTTTGCTTGCCCAAAATAGTGCAATCGCGATAATACGGCAGATTCCACACATTCGCAGCTATTTAATAGCTGCAAACTAGCAGCATCCGTGCGGATTCAAAATGTTTGTTTTTGTCCACCAAGGGTCCTCCAGACGGAAAACCATGCGAGAAACGCAAATGTTATATGTGAATGGAGCCTAAGGCTGGCCATATGTTAATAGATTTCTTTCGACAGTTGACACTGGCTGTCAGAATACCTGAACATTAACTGCAGCTGCAGTCACTGTTCAGCTGATAATTTTCCACGTAGCTCTTTCAGGAAAAGTCAATTAGGTAATCGTCTTTTGTCAAGCTGGCAAGGCCACCCACTGTTCCTGTAAATTGGCTGGAATTCTAACAATGTATGGCTGGCATTAATTAAATGTGTGATGTACATGTATAGTGTTTTTACAGTGAAAACATACTATGAACTATTATTTAACTGTATACCCTAAAGAAATATTTGATGTGACTTTCACATTTTCACAAGCTTGCTGTTCCACATTTTACTTTTGTATTGAAAATAGAGATACATAGATCAGCAATAAGAAGGAGCTTTCAGTGGCTCAATTACTAATGAATTGTTTTAATTTCCAGAAGCCAGTAAAATATGTTAAAAAAAAAATAAAACACACTCCTAAATGTCTATTGAAAATAAAATTTGCCCTAGAATTGTGAGACACATGCCATTAAATTAGTCATTATTCATAAACCATCACGTTATTCTCTGACACATTATTCTCTGCCACATTAAGGGCCCATCCACACCATCCAGTGCATTCATCACACAGTCCCAAATTTTTTGATATCCCACCACACTGGAACGCAGGGCATTGCGGTACTATGTGTTTTGTTGTGGGCGATTGCACTGCAGGCGGGAAGTACAGAATGTCTGCAGTGCCATTGATATGAAAGGTACATTACGGTACCATGCGTTCCAATGCAGGTGATAGCACTGTGGGACTGTGGGTGAGAGGCGTGTTTGCGGTGCTATTGAAATGAATGACACCACCACATCTTCTCTCTCCCCAGAATGTGGAGAGGCTTTGCTTATGTGATCGAGTGCGTTCATACCATGGGAAATAAATTGTGCATGCACTATTTTTGGTGATTGCATTACACTGCAAGGCATTGCAGTACCCCGCGTTCCGGTGTGGGCGATCGCACTGCTGGCTGTAGGCGTGCTTGGGGTGCCATTGAAATTAAAGGCAGATTGCGGCACCACGGGTTCTGGTGCAGGAAATTCACACTGCAGGCGGGAGGCGTGTTTGTGTTGCCATTTAAATTAATGGCACTACAACATCTCCTCCCGCCCCAGAATGCGGGGAGGCTTTGTTTATGCGATCCAGTGCATTCATCCCACAGGACTGTGCGATGAATGCACTAGATGCTGTGAACGGGCCCTCATTTATTCAAAAAGGCGTGACAACAGTTGAATGTGTTCTTGTTTTCATGTGCTTATTTATTTATCACAGGTATTTATATAGTGCCCAAATTATATAGTGCCCTCATGGTATGTTAATAAGGGGAAGCTCAGAGTGCCCCTAGTCTTTATATGGGGACAAAGTGATTTTACTACCTTCCTTCCTTACTTTGAAAATGTCCACGTTAACTTGCAGTCTGCAGACATATCGGGAAGGTAAGATGTATTTAAAAAAACATGTTTTAGGTATGCTGTGTGAAAAGGAACACATAATAAATATGTAGTTGGGTTTCTCAAATTGAACTGGAAAAGTGGAACTACACGTTAAACTTTCTTTGCCACATCTTACACACTCTCCTCCCACTACAGCAACTTCCCTATTCATGTCTCCAATTTCTAATTTTTACAGATGGGAATAGTAGCAATTGGAATGGGATTTATTATGTTACTCTATAATTTATAGTGTCAATAATATATTCCTGAAGAAAAGCTGTATTTTTACACACAAGTAAAATGTACATTTGTACAAGGGCAGTCATTTATCAGTCTGCAGAGAGCTCACAAGAGTCTGGATAAAAAGAATTACCGCATTAAGTACACTTACTGAAATAGAAGTACCTTTCATAAAAGACAGTAAGGTGAAAAGGCAGTGTCTGTTGTGACAGAAAAGGTGATGCGTATTAAAGTGTTTCTGGCATTGTTTGAGAATATTAACTAGAATAATTCCTTCAGACATTATTACCCTGACGTCTCATGTCCACATTTTCGTAAAATTTGCTATAAGGGCTGCAAAGAAAAATAATTGATCTGTTGAAGTAAAACCTACACCTCTCCTATTCCACAAATCCAGACACCCCATCATAGAAGAGACCAATGTCTGTGCCCAGTGCAGACTGTCTGTTCTTAGTCTGCGCAATTGGTCAATGATCGGTGTAACTGATCGACACAGTGGTATTAACACCTCACATACCAAAAAAAAATAATGAAACCTTACATTAATGTGTCCAGCATTAGGAAAGTAACCCAAAATAGAAATGTTAATAACTGCAGATCACAACCTCTGAATAAAATAGTGATAATACATGGATAGCAAATGAGGGCAACAGACAGGCAACTGTGGTAATACGTGAGCAACACATTGGCAATTGCAACGATAAGTGGGCAAAGCACTTGGTGCATCACATATACCACAACATTATATTTAGTAGACAATTTCTAACACACTTAAAAAGGAACACAAATACATAGTTAGGAAATATGTTTTGCCAAAAATCAATATTATATTTAGTTAGACAGTTCCGATATACAGCCATTTAATACTTCTAACAAAACATAATTCACTGCATAATGTACCAGCCCCCATATTTCTCTAATAGCAGATTTACCTGTGACCCTGCCAGCACAGGGCTACTTGTATGCAATAACAAACCTGCTAAAAGAAGAGGCAATATAATTATCATTCCAGTGGCCCATGTGTTGAAAAGCTGCTGCTTTGCTGTTCCCCAGCTGCTGCATGCTTCAACATTATGCTTCAGCTGCAACATTACTTGATAAAGTTCAAGCTGGCGGAAGAAAACACAGCATGCAGCATGGATAACAGGTATGCAACCAATTGGGCGAATACTTGCAGTGGCTGGGGAGTAGCAAAAAGACCGCATTTCAACACATGTCCTACTGAAAAGGTACCGG